TAATGGGAGTCATATGGAGGTTAATCGATTATGTGAAGTAAAATTGAATATGTGAGAGGGATTTTGATGCACAACTGATTGCATATGTCACTAGTTGAATTTGATACAATTTTGGATATGGATTGACTATTTGAAAACATTATAACTATAGACTTCAATAAGAAGATTATTAAAATTAATGTACCTGGAGGGTCAGAAATCAAATTTTGTGGTAATAGAGGGTTGACTTCTATGATAATTACATATTTGAATGTCTTTAAAATATTGAATAGTGGAGATCAAAATTTTCTTACTCATGTGAATGATATTACTAAGTGAAGTCATTGAATGATATTCTTGTGGAGTATCCAAAATATTTTCTTGATGATTTATTAGGACTACCATCAGTGAAAGAGAGATTTTACCATTGAGTTATTGTCAAATTTTGAGCCTTATTCCGCCGTGCCCTAGGAATGTCTACAACAAAAATTCTTACTAACATCCAACCATTAAGCATTTAGTACTGGGAATGGTGTGTATAGCTCTATATTCTGCCCTCTTAGTTTTTGCCAAGTGACAGACTTTGCACTGCTTGACATATCTTTCTACATCCGTCGCCAGCCTAGGCTAGGAAAAATGTTCCTCATGAGTGTTAGGGTCTTTTCTCTGCCAAAATGGCATACTAATCCCCCATTATGACTTTCCTGTAAGATGGGCCCTCTCATTGAACATCTAGGATCACACAACCTATTCTAATGGAACATGTAGCCATCAAATATGTGGTATTGTCCTATAGGCCTATCTTGACACCTATCCCAAATCTCCTTGAAGTCCTTATATGCCTCATACAATTTCCTCACCACCTCGAATCCCACAACTCTAGCATGTATGGAGGTGATAAATAAGTGGCAACAACTCAAGGCATCTGTTACTCGATTATGACTCCCTGTTTTATTTTTGAGCACCAATTGAAATGAAGCTAAGAAATTAGTTTTCTTTGACTGTTTATGAACCTCAAAGCGTCGTGATCTGTGAATAAGGTAATCAGTAGTCAACACGCAGTGACTCCAATGGCTAAGAGCTTTAGGATGCCAAAGTTGAAATAGCATAGACTCCTTATCATACATCAAATACTTCCTCCTAGAGTCGCTCAACTTTCCACTATAGAATGCTATGAGATGCTCTCACAGGCTCAAAAATACTCCAATCTCCACATTAGAAGCATCATATTCTACCTCGAACACCTGATTGAAATCTAGTAGTGTTAATACTAAGGCCCGAGTCACCTTCTTCTTTAGGATATCAAAGCTGAACTAGTGGTACTAATACTAAGGTCTGAGTCACCTTCTTTAGGATGTCAAAGCTGAACTAAGCAGCATCTGTCCACTAAAACTTCTCTACTTTCAAGAGCTCTATAAAGGGAGTTGTAATGGTGTTGAAGCTCTTGATGAATCCCTTATAAAAGCATACCAGCACCAAAAACTTCCTTACCTCTATAAAACAATGTGGGGGGTCTCCAAGCCTTTATCTTAATAGGGTCCAACTAAATGCTTGCACTGGATACAATATAGCCCAAAAATATACATTCCCATCATGAAGTGACACTTCTTCAAGAGGGCATATAGTTTCTCCAACCAAAGAACCTTGAAGTCCGTCCTTGAAATATTACAATTTGCATTAAAAAAAACAAAAGCTATATCAGGTCCATCCTCATATGCTGCAAATGCTCCTCCGCAAATTTGTTGTTGACTAGAACATTATCAAAGTACACAACTACGAATTTTTCAATGTAAGCTTTGAGCACCCAATTCATCAACCTTAGAAAATGCTACATGCATTAGGAAGTCCAAAGAGCACGATTGTCCACTCATACAACACAACTATGGTCTTGAAGGAAGACTTCCATTCATCCCCTGGCTTCATGTTGACCTGGTGATATCCACCGCACAAGTCAATCTTGGAAAATATGATAATTTCATGCAACTTATCTGACAAATCATTCAAGCGAGGTATATGAATTATGTACTTGCTAGTGATCTTATTAATAACTCATCTATCAATACACATCCTCCACGAACCATCCTTCTTAGGCATCAGTGTTACCTAACATGCATAGACCTAATCCATGGATCGGTTTTACCTAGCATGCATACTTACAAAGATCAACCACCACGTAACATGGATAGCTAATCTACCAAAATATCACTGATCCACACGTATCTCATTCCCCTTATTTCAATCACGTCAAAGAATAGGGTTGAGAATAGCCATTTCTCGCTCCTTTACTATAAAAGTAGAGACCATATTTTCACAATACCCTCTATTAATGATAAGGTTGCATGCATTCCTTCTCACAATACACCTGGTGTGAAAGATGTTATATCTCAACCAAGAGTGATCCCTCATTGGTTTAGTGTGCAGAGCCCTCCTCACAACTAACATTTCACCTTCATCTCCATGGAACTGATACTCCTCACCCAACTCTTCTTCTATCTTCTCCTCACTCACTTCCTTCACTGCATCCTGCTCGGTGAAGGAAACAACTCTTCTAGTAGGGCAACCGGATACAACATGTACATATCCATAACACATAAAGCACTTCTTGACTTGAACCATGTTAAGTATGCTACTCTTCTCAAACTTCATTCCACTTTGATCAACTTCATCATCCTTCTGACTAGCTGACATCTCTCCTAAGTGTGCTCCTGTTGATACCTCCAATTGTGGGTGGTTGTCCATATGGAGGTGATTGTCTGCTCTGTCTTTGCTGTCCTCCACCTTTAGTGCCAAGGTCTGAACAACACCCAATGACCAATAAGGTTATAACTGGACAATGTTGTTGATGGTTGGTTTTGGGCCCCCAAGTATATGACTATAGTTCACTTCTGACTCTATCAGGTTATATTTCAGCATGAGATGCTCAAACTCTATTGTGAATTCCTCCATTAACAATTCTCTTTATTGTAGGTGGAGCTTCAAGAACATGTTCTGGTGGTAGTTGGAGGTAAGTATTTCCTCTACATCTTTTTCTTCATCTTCTCCCATGTGGTTATCTTGCTCCCACCTTCTCTCTATATCACCCTCTTCAGATTCTCTCACTACAAAGAGGTACCCTTCTTCAGTTTTATGGCAGCAAGTTTCACTTTCCTATTAGCTGACACCTCCTATATTCAATAATTCTCTGAACGGACTGTAGCCACTCAATGAAGTTATCTAGATTCATTCTTCCCTCGAAATCTGGTAAGCCTACCTTTACTCTCATTTCTTCGTGTCATCTAAAAGTTGTTTCATCCCTCGGCCTCCTCTGATATTGGAGCCCTCGGTCTCCTCTGATATTGGAGCCCAAACCGTTGTGGCTTGTCTCCTTCTCCATTGGAATCATTCTTATGGAAGGGATTTAGATTATATACCTTATGGAAGGGATTTAGATTATACCCTCCTCTCCTCTTTGAGCATCACTATCACGATCAATGGTGATATCACCTCACATCCTCAAATTCAACAAGTTTTGTAAAAGTCGGCGGATTTTTACTGTATCCCTTCCTTGGTTAGGTCCCTATTAGTGTCCATTACCCGTTTTCTTGGTGTCATAGTTAGGATTTAGGTTAGGGATAGAAAAATCAGCAATAAGGAAGGGTGGAGTTTGGGTTAGTTATAGGTGAATTTTGGTAATCCTAAGATGGAGCTACAGTTAGGCCAGTTTTAATGTTAAATGATATCATAATCAGCTTGAAAATAAGGTGAGGAGAAATACAATATAATCACTAGTAATTTTATAGAAGCCAGAAATAGAAATACAACAAACTGAAAACAAATATCAATGGGAAATACTAGGGAATAGAGTGTAGGTATTATCGGTTAGAGTTTAGACCTCTGGGGTGGTGGCAAGGAGTTGGCTAACAATCTGGAAGGGGAGAGCAACAAAACAACTATTGTTCTTGGGTGGCGACAGTAGGTTGGACGTAGAGAACAAGAAGTTTCTATTTTCTGGGCGGCAACAGTAAGCAAACAATGAAAGGGATGTGGGACCTATGTGGGAAAGGATGGGGAAAGGTATGGAAGAATAAACACCACATAGAGATCAATATACAACCAGAGCACCACTTGGAACCTTAGGATACAACCTGTAGAGGGAGAAAGAGATGTCGACTGTTGTCCCAAATCAAATCACAAAAAAAAACTAAATTCTAAACACCAGCAAAAGCAAATATCTATTCCTAGATAATTAGGAGTGGACACCGTCTTAAAAAGAGGCGGCACTCCCAAGACTAAAGGCTTGGTCGACCCTCAATAACCTTACTAGACCGAACTAGTCTAGGTAAAGTAGACGCCCCGTGATAATGATATAAATGATCTTGAAGGTCTACTTTTAAAAAATAACTAGAATTAGCATTTAGGCTTTTAAAATTTCCCCTATATACTAAGTAAAAAAAAAGGTCCCCTAAATACATCATATAACCAAAAAAAAAAGGCAACAACAAATCTCATCTTTAATGACATATTTTAATTGGATGGGCCTGATATTTTCACTATATACTAAGTAAAAAAAAAAGTCCCCTATATACATCAAATAACCAAAAAAAAATGGCAGCAACCAATCTCATCTTTAATGACATATTTTGATTGGATGGGCTCTGGTCTTTGGCGACGCATGTGTTTTGATTGGATGGGCTCTAGTCTTTGGCGACGCACATATTTTGATCGACGGTCTCCATCAGATTAACGTAGCATTTGGTTGTTATTAATTTTTGTATTCTTACTTTTTTTATGACTATCAGCTTACTGTTACTTTATGAAAAAGTTCAAAGAGACTTGAGATATTTAACACGAGGCCTCATTTTTTGCTGCTTTAAAGAAATTGATGGCTTCCAGGAGTTGTGCACATTACCATTAAACAATATATTTATATTAGGCCTTTTGTCAGTTCCAACTGAAACAAATTTAGAACTTTCACTGCCCGTTAGATTTTTTCACTGATTTGCTGTTATAATTTTGTGTTCCTGTTTGATCATGAATAATAGGGTCAACATCATGGCTGGACAGAAGGAGGATCGAATGATGATGACAGGAATGCACACCGTTTCTGACATTTTCTGCGTTGGTTGTGGATCCAATGTGGGGTGGAAATATGTAAGGATTGGATCTGCCTGTTTCTAGCAATTCCTACATCTCGCTATTTGCAGCTTTTCTTGACCTGATGACTATCTTCAGGTGGCCGCATATGAGAAGGGCCAAAAGTACAAGGAAGGAAAATTTATTCTCGAAAGGTAATATCTAAGTTTCTTCGTTCATTGAATAAGCCGTAATTGGTTATATTGCATGTAGGAAGAGATTTTCACTACTAGTTGGAGATTATTTGGGATCAATTTTGTTTTTGGTTTTTTTACATATTTTTATTTTTGTTTTTAAAAATAAATTAACATGTTTTTTTGAAAACACTCAAAATAATTTTTAAATATTTTGAGTGTTTTTAAAAATAATTATACTTCAATCAAATAATCAAACATGTTTTTAGGCAATTGTGGCAAGGAAAATCTGAGTTCTGAACACGGCTTAGTCGAGGAGAGCATAATTTTATGTGAAAAACTCCTAAAAGGGGAAAAGAATTATAGGGCCTGATCTAGTTACAAAGATGCATTATTTGTAGATATCCATTAAAAAGTTATCCACCTCTATGTAGTTAGGGGGTCTGGTAGAAATTCTCTCAGGTAGTCAGAATGAGGTCCTCTTGTGAGTTGATTGAGTTGGGCTTTAGTGCAGGATAATAAGTTTTAATTTCTTTTAAAAATTGGGTTTTGTTGTTCCTATGATTGTTTTGGTATTATTTGTTGGTTATTATAAAACTTTGGGCCTGTTGAAAGTAGACATTCATATGAGATTCAAAGAGTTTGGCTGATCTGGCTTGCATTTCGTTTCTCATCATAGTTGTGGGTGTCAGTTTCTTAGTTTTAGTTTTAATGTGTATTTAATTTTTTTTTTTTTTATTTCTTCCGATGTACATTGAAGTAGTTATGTGCTAAGAAATACTAAATCTACAGAACTTTTCAGGTTTATAATACTTAATGGATGTGGAGCTTGCTGGAGTAATTTTTAACATCCATTGATTTCTATCCATGGAATTTTGCGTTAACTGTTGATCTTGTAAAGGCTGTTGTTTCTCAAGCTTGTAAATCTCAGAACTCCACCCTGTCGGACAAGCATTTTGATAATGTCATAAATTCATTGAGTGGGTATGTGCTGTTTTAAGCGCAGACAATGAAGCCACATGGGATGCAATTGATGAAGCTACATGGGATTTTGTGGGTGATGAAGCTACATTTAGTAGTGCAAGCAGCATGACTGGTTGAGGAGTGAGCATCAAAGTTATATGTAGAGGTAAGGGTGTCAAAAATTGACTCGATACATTAGCCCGATCCGGACCTGACTCAAAATCCAAGTTCGAGTTGACCCAAATAAATTTTGGGTCGGTTTCGGGTTGTGAATCCAAACCCATTTAATTATTTTGTTTGGGCTGACCACCAAGCAGAAATCGACTCGAAATTAATCCGCCAACTCAAAATTGTCTCAAAATTGATCCGCCAACTTGAAATTTACCCTAGATATACTCAAAATTGATTCAAATTCGACCAAATAATTATTAGGTCTTATGTTAAATGGGTTATAGAGGTCGCGTTCAGGTTAGCGGATTGAAGACAGGTTGTGTTTGGGTTGGACTTTTTGACCCATTGAATATTTGAGTCCCAGTTTCGTATTAGGTCAATTTCGGGCAAAGTCAAGCCCGTCCTGCAAACCCAATTTAACACCCCTAGAGGTTCAATGACGTGGTAGCATAATTATATGTGGTAGTGTGTTAACCCAACTACTCAAGGAGCAGACATTGAAGTTGCACAGTGATGCATGCGATGCATTTGCTTGAGGGGCAGATGCAAGTTGTGAGGGCAAGAAAGCCTCAAAGGCAACACTCAGAAATTTGTACTCATAAAAAACTGTTCTAACCTTAGCAAACATGTATAAATAAGACGAGGTTAATAGATAGATTAGGTAAGTAGAAGAATAAGCAATAAATAGAGGGGTGATGGGAAAGGAAGGAACTTGAAATTACGATAGAAGTGGAAGGTGGTAGATAAGGTAGGAAATTAAAATAGGCAAGAGGGTTCCACGATTATTGTAGCAGCTACAGTACTGCATCCCAATTTTAGCTCTCACGTCAATCTGTCAGAGTTGAGGGAGCTGCGACCTTATTCATCGAAGTTTTTAAGGCAGAAAAATTTTGGTGGGGGTGGCTTGGGTAGGGGCGGATCTTAGGAAATCAGATGATAGGACTATGGTTGAGCTAGCTCTGATACCAAAAAATGTCGGAGAAAGCTCAAACCACCGTGAAAAACACAATTATTATTACTGAATTCAAAATTGTACAAACAAGACTCTTGTGAACAGGAAATAAACGACAACAAATATACAAACGGTACGTACAAGGCAACACTGCGAAAATATAAGATAGAAAGCAACACGAAATACATAAACGAACATCTAGGAAACGGGGACAAGGGTGGTAGTCGGAAAAGGGTTAGCGACTGCTAGAGGGTGCAATGACAGCTGCAGAAAGCACCAAACAACAACAAGGAAGGTGTCTGCGGGGCTGGCGGCAACAAGATAGCGGCTTGAAGATGTTAAACAATAGCAGGGAAGGTGTCGGCAGGGTTGAGGGTTGCAAAACTACTGCTTGAATGAGGAGGGAGGGCCTACAGGGCAGCAAGAAGAAGACCAGAGAGCGTTGTGCGGCTGCTGGAAGAGTTTGGAGGGGTTGCGGAAGGATAAATGTCTCGTCAGGGTTGAGCTACAGCCGGAGCATCACCCAAAATCCTAGAGATGGTCACCACCTCGGACAAGTTACAGCTGGAACGCCTTCTCGTCGTAGGGTACAACGTCCTCGTGTGGGGGGGTAGAACGCCTCAAAGGCAGCACTCAGAAATCTGCACTCATAAAAGACCACTCTAACCTTAGCAAACATATATTAATATGTAGATTAGGTAAGTAGAAGAATAAGCAATAATTAAAGGAGGGGTTATGGGAAAGGAAGGAATTTGAAATTGGGATAGAAGTGGAAGGTGGTAGATAATGTAGGAAATCAAAATAGGCAAGATGGTCCCACGGTTATTGTAGCAGCTACAATATTGCATCCCAATTTTAGCTCCTGCGTCAATCTATTGGGGTTTGGGGAGCTGCGACCTTATTCATCGACGCTTTTAGGACAAATTTTAGTGGGGGTGGCTTGGATAGGGGCGGATGCTAAGAAACCCGATGATATGATTAGGGTTAAACTAGCTCTGATACCACATGATACCGGAGGAAGCCTAAACTACCATAAAAAACACAATTATTATTACTGAATTCAAAAGGGTACAAACGAGATTCTTGTGAATTTAAATAAACGACAACAATCATACTAACAAAAATAACAAGACGATACTGCAAAAATATAAGATAGAAAGCAACACAAAATACATAAACAACCATATAGAAAACAGGGATAAGGGTTGTGGTTGGAAAAGGGCTAGCGACTATTGGAGGGTGCAATGATAGCGTCAAAAAGCGCCAAACATCAACGAGGAAGGTGTCTGCGGAGCTGGTGACAACAAGACAGCGGCTTGGAGACATCAAACCGTAGCAGGGAAGGTATCGACGGAACTCAGGGTAGCAGGACTACTGCTGGAATGAGGAGGGAGGGCCTAGAGGGCATCAGGATGAATTCTAGAGGGCATTGTGCGACTACTTGAAGAGAAGCCAAAGAGGCTGCGGAAGGATAAATGTCTCGTTGTGGTCGAGCTACAGTCGGAGCACCACCTAGACCTTTGAAGACGACCACCATCTCGGACGAGTTACAGTCAGAGCACTTTCTCGTCGTCGGGTACAACCTCCGGAGAGGAAGAACGCCTTGAATGTAACACTCATCAAAAACCGCCCTAACCTTAGCAAACAACATGTATAAATAAGAAGGGGCTAGTAGATAGATTAAGTAGAATAATAGACAATAAATAAATGAGGGGTGATGGGAAAAGAAGAAATTTGAAATTGGGATAGAAGTGGAAGGTGGTAGATAAGGTAGGGAATCAAAATGGGAGGGACCTGTGGTTACTGTAGCAACTACAGATGCATCCACGGTACTATGGCAGCTACACTTCCGCGTCCCAATTTTAGCTCCTACGTGGTCGCTAGTGAGAGTGGCACATTCTGCCACAGATTTCATCCCATAATTAAGTTTTCCTCACATACTTGTTACTCAATCACCACACACTGAGCACGAGAAGTGCAAGGAGAAGATTTCAAATGTAAGGTCTCAAAAGTTTTACTGTGGGAACCCACCTGTATATGCAGGTCTCACTCGGAATGTGTCAAAAGAGTATGACTATCTATTCTACCAGAATGTAATGTGGAATGACAACATCGGCATGATGGACCTACCAAGAGGCTTAATGTCGTACCATGAGGATTCAGGAGCTTCGATGAATGACGTCGAAGCTTCCCAAACCCCAAGAGAATGACACTGGAGTTTTCCTCCAAAAGCTTAACTAGCTTGGCCCGAACCGGTTCAGTTGAGAGAGAGGGCTGAACCGGCCCCCATCCCTCTTCTTTTCTATAGGCGGGAATTTTCTTATTTTCATTTTCCGTCCATCCCTCTTCTATTTATGTGTTTTATGCCTTATGGTTTAATTTATGTTATTTTTTTTATTTCAGTTTGTGGACAGCCACTGGAATCATGTTTTCCCTTCAAGGGCTGTATTTGATGGTTAGGGTGTTGTTCTGGCTGTATCCCTTTCCTCGGTGGTGATTTTATCTTCCTTCCTTTGCTCGCATTCTCCCTCTCGTTTTGGCCCCTGCTCCCTGCATCCCTTCCAGCCAGCCCGTACTACTCTCTATTCCTGCCTATCCTACAACTATTGTTCCTTTTTTTGCCCGCTTAACTGGCCCATCCGCTCCTTTGCTGCTGTGCTTTCGGTGACTCTCTCCCTGCTGCCAGCCTTATTTACCCCCTTCACACCCCACCTGTATCGTGCCTTTTTTTGCCCGCTTAACTGGCCCATCCGCTCCTGCTTTCGGTGACTCTCTCCCTGCCCCCGTATTTCCTCTCCAGACCTGTACTGCCAGCCTTATTTACCCCCTTCACACTCCACCTGTATCGTAATTCCTTCCTGCCCTTCAACCTACCCCCTTCCTGCTACAACCACACCACCAATCAAAGCATCCCACCAACAGCCTACCAGCCAACTCATCTGTGGGCCAGCGCCACCCTCCCTGTTTCCGTCGTCCTAAGTTTCATTTTATGTTGTGTTGTTATTTTCCGTTTGTGACATATTGTAACCCTAATTCAATATTAATAAAAGTTTGCTCTGCGTTTTCCGTTGAATTTCCTAGTAGTTCCGGTATCACTCTTGTTTGGTCACTGGTTCAGTTGATTCAAATCAAATAACATGCATTGATCAATTTCTTTAGAGCTGCTTTGAGATTTTTATTTTATTAAATTGATGATGATGCTGAAGCTTAAGAAGGCATTTGCTTTTCATTATTTTTCATCATATGAATCCTGAACAGGTTTAAGGTGTCTGGTCCTGATGGAAGCCATTATTGGGCCAACCATGAATCTCATGTTGGTGGAAGTGATGCAGAGGACGTGTGATTTATGCGTCGCGAATCGGTCGAGTGCAATTGTATATTCTTTCCTTTATGTGTGACCATTCAATTTGGATTCTGGAATTTGGGGATTTGTTTCTTATGTATAAGCCTGAAAGCTTAAGAATGCCAAACTCGTCTGTTTTATAATTCGCTCTTTCCCAGCTGGTTACAAGCTTTCTTGCACTGCCTCAATCAATTGTTTCTATTTTCTACATTCTGACATGCGTTTGTAAGCCTTCTTAGAGATTGCATAGGTGTCTTTCGTAGTTCTATAACATGTGTCTATGGCTGCTAACTAGCCGATTTCGAGCCAGACTCAAATGAATTGAGTTCAGATTGAAATCCCTTTATGGCTCGTTATGTTCTATTTCAAGCCAGCTTGGCTCAAAATTGTATCGAGTTTGTTCCAACTCGAAATCAAAATGAGCTGGCTCAATTTTTAGTCATTTGGATCTGTTCTAGCTCGTAATCGGTTCAATTCAGCTCGAAATCAAAACATTATGGCTCAAATTGAGCTATTTGGATCCATTCTAGCTTGAAATTAACTTGTGCCTTGTTATATTTGATTTATTTAGCATTATATATAATTTTTCTAAATAAAAAAATACTTTGAACCGATATTAAGCTAGTTCGAGCTGATCGTCGGTGTATGGCTCGAATTCGGCTCAAAAAGATAAATTCAATCCAAAGTTTTGGCTCATTGCTCGACTCGTATTTGAATCAATTTTTGAGCAATTAACGATCTTTAAGCAAAATTCAGAGCCCTTTCAAGCTTGATAATAATAATAATAATAACTTATTATAATGATTAGTTCATTTAGTTATATTAAATCAATATTGTATTGTTAATTTGGCATTTTATATGAGAGAGATATAGATAATAAATTTATTAAAAAATAAAGTTTTATTCAAGTTCATGTTAATAAGCATATTTAAAGTATAGTTGTTAAATGAATAATATCAAATGATTAAATTGATTTTATTATATGCTTCACTACAAGGGAACATTGCATCCATAACCCTTCTCTTCTCATAAATTGCAAATATTGAAAGCTGAAATTTAAAAATTGCTTAAAAACTCTTATTAGTAAAAGATTTGCAGGGCATAGTGTATGAATTTGAGAGATCAACAATACATTTATAAACTCCCAAGGATTCAACCACACCCTTAATAAGCACAAATATATAAAAAGCTTTGCTCATTTCTTTGTCATGCTTGATTTTAAAGATGGTAAGACCCCATTCTTTATGATGAAATATTCCATGGATAGTAGCTTTACTACAAGGGACTTTTTTTTTAATTTAATTTAATGAAAATTATGTTTAATTTAAAGACTACGATCGTTTCGTAGATATTTCTATTAAAGATTGATTCATATATCTTTCAATGATTGCCCAAGGAGATGTAAGATGATAATCATCTTCCCTAATTTCTAATGATTAATTCATTAACAATTTTAGTACAAATGTTTTTTTCTAACTTAATAATTTATTCAAGGGATTTTTGTTTTAAGGTTTTTGTTTCGCTTGTTGGATTTTAGTATGAGGAACATTCTTTGATTTTTGGTTTTAGATCTACAGAGATCAACAACAACAACAAAGCCTTGATTAGTTCTATTTTTTCTCAAGAACAATGATGTTAAACTCCACGACCAAGTCTAGTATACCTCTAGTCTCCAGACATAATATTTTCTCACCTTAGAAGGATAAATTCTACAACACTATAATCTATATGTAATAAAAATTTAGATTTTAAAAGAGCCTCTTTGAAATTTAGTAATTGATTTTACCATTCCAAACATTTCTTTCTTAATAGCTTTTTACTTCAATGTCTTTAATAGGGGCTTGAATCTGAATGGCCACAGGAAGCGGAAAAATTATTACATACGGACACCGCATGCAGAGATGCATGCGGTGTCCGATCTACACCGTAGATCACGGTGATCTACGGTGAGAATGTATTTCGGTGGGCCTCATTTTAATTTTTTTTTATTTTCTTTAAAAAAATTAAAACTGAAATACATCCTCACCGTATATCACCGTGATATACGATGTAGATGAGACACCGCATGCATTTATGCATACGGTGTCCGTATGCAATAATTTTTCCAGGAAGCCACCTCAAGTCAAGACTTGAATGCCACTTTTAGCAAAAGATGTTTAAATGCAACATGAAATTAAAGCATCAAATTGTTCAATGATTTTCACCTGCAGAATAATGATTTTCAAAACACTTTTTCTTTCTAAATAAATTTCAACAATTCTTTCACCATTAAGCATAAAAAAATGAACACAACAAAGCCTTGGGTCTTTTGGGATCATTTTTATTTTTATTTTTATTTTTTTTATATTTTCATTTAAAATAAAATATGTTTGATATATTTGATTAAACTATGATTGAATTTGAAAATATTCAAAATATTTAAAATTATTATAAGTGTGGTAAAAAACATATTAATTTCTTTAAAAAATAAAATTTTAAAATATGTAAGAAAATATATCAAATAAATATCTATTTTAAAATAAAAATTAAGAAAATCAAAATTGATCCCAATCAATCCCATAAGTAGAAAAAAAATATTACATCCGGAGTCCGGAGGCAGCTACATCCGGACAAACATTCATGATAAAGCAAACGAGCAGATAAAAAAAATTCGTTGTACCGTGCTCGTTGTCTGGACGTAGCTTTGCATCCATACTCCGAACGCAATATTTTTTTCATTAAAATAGCTTCTTATACTTAGAGAGATTAGAAACACGGATTGCAAAGGTTTTAACTAATCTAATAAATAGTCTTATACTTAGAGAGATTAGAAACACGGATTGCAACTAATTTAATAAATAAAAAATTCATAAATATGTAATTCCAGACTCATTTTTTTCCAAACAAAAAATTAACTTAGAAACAAAAATACAAAGAGAATTAAATGTCTCTTTAACTTTCAATATATGCAAAAAACATATTTGCATATCCCATCCATCAAACAGCTATTCACTGGTGCAGAGAGTGATTATATGTTATATCCCAGGTTTATTTGAAAATTTTGAGGGTCTAAATGCTAATTCCAAATATAACTAATTATGATGTACAGTAATAAGCATAATAGTCAAGAGCAGTTCATATTAAAAGGAGAATATGCATGTAAATTGCAGGCGTACCTTTGATGATTGATTGATCTATCCAAGGGAGTAAATTAAACGTCCGGAGAGATCATTGCCCACAACTCCCACGAACCTTTCCAGTTGCAGCTCCAACTCTTTGATGAATCTCTTGTCAATGGCTCCATAAACCTGTCGAAAATTCTACATGCAAAATAAGATAAAATGAATTATTTGAGCATTGAGTTCTATGAAAAGAATTGAAGGTTTGGGCTCCTAACAAAAGCCAATTTAACTTGTGTGATGTTTTTGTTGTTGATGAAACAGTTATTGTCTAATTTATTTGTTTATTTTTGTGTGAGATGTTATTTTTAATTTTATTAGTTCGCGTAAATAAAATGGAGATTTATCTCTTATTATTAGGGGCGGATCCAGGTTATGTCCAATGTAGGGCAATTGTCCCGCATGAAATTTGCAATTTTTAGATATAAATAATAAAATTTTTAATATATTTTTTAAGGTAGTTTAGAGAATTTAGTAATTTTGCTCCATCTCTTTTTTTTTTTTTTTTTTTCACAATTTTTAAAATTTGTTTTTTTTTTTTAAAAT